ACCGAGATGGAATGACTGGGCTTTACAGGAAGGATTTTCACAGATCGATCAATACAACTTCCACATCACCCATTGGAGGGGTGCCTAAGCACTCTCGTGGGACGGCACGCCCTCCGTCTATTTTATAAACGGTTTCGAAGTACCCATTGAGCGTTTCACATTTTTCATAATCTGAGACAGACAGCCCATTTTTGGGGTTCTTCATAGTACCTACCGATAGCCTTTGTGCAGTCTTCGATTGTACATAGTTATAGTACCTCTTGGGTTCCTGGCGCGCTCTCTTGGCGATTTTCACCTCAAAAGCCATTTTCGCCTGGCTTACTAGCTTGCTAGCATACTTTCTCGCTTTCTTATATTGTAGCCATCGATCATGCCCTCGTGTGGGAACGAATGCCTTCCACCTACGAGCCCTTTCCCCTATGGAACTTTAATGGCCGGCTTCCACCATTGCGGTTTGTGGGCATCACCCCGAGGCTGCAATACCTCTCCGTCAGCTTTATTAGCTGGTCGCGGAGTTTCTCCCATCGTTGATCCACGGACGCTCCTGTTCCCTGCGGGAACCGCACACACCCACCCCTACGTGAACAAAATAATACAACTGTCGCAGCGCCGTGGTGCTCCCAAGTTCATTGGTGCAAGAAACTGGACTGCTTCTGGCTCCGCCGCAAGCTCTGTGATCTGTCCCGTCCTGTTAAAATAAAGTACTTTATGCTTTTCAAGGCCACTGTTGCTAGGTCTTTTCCCTCGTGTCTATGTACCAGGTCCCTTTACGGTCGAGGCGTTACATTTTTTCTTTCGTATGCTTTTGCATCATTGGAATATCCTGGGGTTTTGTTATTTGGGCTGGGGCAGTTGTTGTACAACGGAACTTGCATACGCTTCCTCCTAGTCAACCAGGTTTGTTAACAAACAAAATTTTGTTCTGTTATTATTCCATATCAAATTTAGCCTCCTAATATTTATATGATTATATAGATATGTATTTCATTTATCCATCTTTCCTACCTAATGCAGAATCGTAATGGAAGTGGACCGCAACGTGAAGCTTCTGACTAACTTCGAAGTTTTGCAGCTAATAAATTCAAAATTGAGCTCGAAGAAGAAAATCAGAAGTCAACAAACGCTTTTGTACACAAGTTCCAAGTATCTGAATTCCAAAACTCCATGTACAGTTCAATCTCCGGAAGCTATCCATGCATTTTCCAGAGCTGTTAAACCGTTTGAGTTATCCAAGGTGGAGCTTTTAATGCTCATTAACCACTGCCCGTCAACACAAGTTGAGCTATCTGTGGTGAGTTTTCTGTTGAAACCATGATGTTTCCTTTTCTCTTGGGCTAATTGTCAGCGGTTGCTCTGGAGTTGGTGGCTTGAAATTTTACGATGTTCTTCTTTTGTTAACGTTTAATCCGGTTCTTATGAAATATCAATAGGTATTTCCTGCTCAGTTGAGGTTTGAAAATTCCTCCCTCCGGTCTGCCCTCAGGTTATAAAGTTAGAAGGGTAGTGGGAGATCTCTTGGTATGCATAAGTCCGGCACCCAACACTGTAGAGCATCAAGTGTCTAGACTAATGATGGCCGCAATACGAAAGAACCCTAAAGAAAGCGAATGATATCATGGAACCTCAGCGACGGTTGTATTGATATGGTCTGTAAAACAGAAAGGGGGAGAAGCCTATCGGGGCCTTGTGTGGTTCGCCACTCCAAGTCCCGGGGCTTAGATAATCACAGGTGTGTAATAAAGAAGCGTGCAGAAAGTGAAAATTAACATGCGGTGACCAACTACGTGGTCTTGGTTCGGTAAAACAAGTTCCGAATATGGAAGAGGTACATGTGCGGATGGGGTTGCTGCTGTCACTACAAAAATACTGTTGGTTGTCCTGATCACAAGAAAAAGACAGCTGTCACCTGCTCGGTGAGAGACGATAAAGATACGTGACCGTTTATTATGTGCCCTAACGGGAGAGGTAGATCCGCTCACAAATCAGAAACCATCTTGTCCCACCAGTCCACGGCTGACTCAAAAGTTTGGACTCTGTATTTCTAATATCTCATGGTAATTGGTTCTATCAATTTACTACCCGATCGCTGAAGAAGTGTGCGATCCTAGACCGAGATTTACTTAGTTTCATACAGTTCAGTTTTTACAACCATCAACTGTGCACTTTCGTGCGCCGGTTTGATTGCTGTCTTTTGGTTTCCCTTTTATATAAGAGAGCGGAAAAACCGTTGTAATGTTGAAAGCAAATTCAAACGGAAGATAAGGAATTGATGTAGACTGGTGTTAAGGTAATAAAGAGTAGATACATGAGCGCCGCTGTTTGCACAGTCTGGATTCGAAAGTGTGTGAAAAATATATAAATATGCATCGCTCAGTGTCTCTAACCATCGGTGACCATCATCCCGAGGTCCCTAGCCAGGGAGCCTAACG